TGCAGATACCTCCATGGCGTAACATTCTGTTTTAATGTAAAGGGTGGGATGGGGGCCACTTTGAGGCAGAGGGAATTACAACAATGGTGGTTCTTCGATGTTTGAGTGTTTCATGCTTGGTAGCGAGAAGAAGTCGTACATGGTCTTTGCGTTTGCCGCGGCATCAAAGCTTTATGGCGACTAGCATGGGGATTTTCACATCGTGTTCAGAGGCTCAACTTAGACCTCTGGTAGTCAAACCATCATGTAATGAAAGGATTTTGGTAACCCCAACCCCCAATATTAGGACCCTATGACTATCATATGATGGTTATAGGGTCCTAATTTTGGGGGTTGGGGTTACCAAAATCCCTTTATTATCATGGCTGGGTACCCACGGATGCTAGTAGACTTTGTGCAGGATGTGGGAGTCGGAGATCCAGCACTGGCGAAAGGGAATCCGCGAGTGGAACCTCCTGACTGCTGGCTATAGGTTTAGAAGTGAAAAGGGGTTTAGGGTTTAGGAAGCTGGGGTTGTGAGTTCCGTGCGTGCACTGAAAGATTGAGGTTATGCCGTTTCAGGAAGATTTCGAAGGTTTCCAATCAAGGTTCTTAGTGGGTTAGGTTCCGAGCAGTCGGAATTAGTGTTGGATACTGCCCCCGTTCAGTATTTGTAACATCGGATAGTAGTAATAACATGGTTAAATGCAAAGCTCCAAAGATTCGTCCTATCATCGACACAGTACCCAAGCTTAGGGCCTTGTTGGGCTGCTACCCCAAACCCCAAACCCTAAACCCTAAACCTTAAACCATAATGTGCGGTCCCCCAGGTGGGTAGTTGCCAGTTGTTTACTTCCACGTAAGGCTCGTATGAGGGTGATGGAGCTGTATGAGGTCTACGTCCTTTACCGTAAGGGTACCCAGCTGAGAACTGCCCACCTGGAGTGCAACAAGCCCTAAACCCTCAACCTTGCTCTTATCAGCTTTCTTCGTCGCTGCATGCGGAAAGAGACGTTGCAAACAAAGAACTAAACCCTAAACCCTAAACCCTTGAACTCTAATGGGGCATCCCAAGGAATGGAAACAACGACGACGACAGATCGGACGTCATCAGTGAGTCTCCAAACTAGCCCTCGTGATCCAAGTAGGGGTTTCTTTATGTAGAGTTTAGGGCCCAAAATTAGGGGGTACTTTTTTGAGGGTCCCTATAATGAGGATTCTAGCATTTTGGGGTCTATCCAGCGGTCCCCCTATTTTGGAAATCTAGCAAGTAACCTAAAGTAGCTCTGTATTGTTTTCGAACGGCATGGCGCAGAGTATGGATTATTTATAGACTTGGATCCTCAGGGTAGATCTGAGGGTACGGGACGCCACACAGGACTCCAGGGCAGGTGCGTCGTAGTTTAGCCCACCAGTTATGTGCAGCTATCACTTCCTTTGTTGATGGCTGATTGAAGTTGGGGATGTGCAGAGACGAGGCGATTCTGAGCTGGAAGGGACTTGGAGACTTGGAGACATGCCCCTAGGGTCATTTTGAAAACCATTGCGCATTTGGGCATACCCTATAGATGGCTAGGTTCGAAGGTCGGCGCCCCGTCCTGAAATTCCGGAGGCCGCTGGATATTACCCACCACTATTACTCGTAACAATACTAATCATCATCAAACCACTGCCACTGCTCCTACTGGCGGTCAGCTACTGCTGCCATTACCCCTACCACGACCGTGATTACGGTAGCTGTCATCTTCTGACTCCTAAACCCTAAAGCCTATAGTCCTCCTTAAGTAGATAGAATATGGGGTATATGGGGATTTTACTATAGTATATCTTAGGAGGACCCCCCACCCTGTAATAGTGGTATAATAGGACTACAATAGGACCCTAATATAATCCCTATTATCCCTTATACTCACTATACTGGATGGGGGGTCCACCTAAGGTATATGGGGATCTTATTGTAGTATACCACCCCTAACCCCTAAACCCCTAAACCCTAAACCCTAAGTATACCCTATTCTATCTACTTTGACTCAAGTTCCGCATTCAGAGCCCTGGTTGGCGTGTTTCAAAAAGTGGGGCGTGCGGCGCGACGCCGGAGGCCTCCTTGCCTTGAAGTTGCCTTTAAGTACCCTAGGGGCCTAAATGATTACCAATATTATAGTTCCATATTCCTCCTTTAGGTTTAGAGTTTTAGGGTTCCATATTCCTTTTTACGGTCTATGGAGGAGCTATAATCTAAACTGCTTAAAGGGGCTTTATATAGGGGATTATATATGGAACTGCTATAGGGGGTTAATGATTACCAATATTATAGTTCCATAGTCCATATACGAGCTATAGTCTAAACTGCTTAAAGGGGGATTATATCGGGGATCCTTTAAGTACTATAGGGGCCTAAATGATTACCAATATTATAGTTCCATAGTCCATATATGAGCTATAGTCTAAACTCCTTAAAGGGCTTTATGTAAGGGATTATATATGGAACTGCTATAGAGGGTTAATGGTTTCCAATATTATAGTTCCATAGTCCATAGATGAGCTATAGTCTAAACTGCTTAAAGGGGGCTTTATATAGGGGATTATATAAGGGACTACTATAGGGGTTATTAAGAGGGATACTAGGAGTTTAGACAGTAGCTCAAATGATTACCAATACTATAGTTCCATATTCCATTTATAGGTTTTAGGGTTTAGGGTTCCATATTCCTTATACAATTACGGTCTATGGAGGCAGGCGGATGTGGGCTTACATCATCACTCTTAAAGTAAGACTCAAATCAAAAGGACATGAACATGAAATGGAAACTGGGTGTATATGGAGGCCTTAATCGGGGCTTATGGGAGCAATTGCCGATATAGTTTTGGTTCTAGGTTCCCTATATAAGTATGCTATAGGTTTAGGGCACCCCGTACAAAACGATCTCGCTAATCATTGAGGCTACTTCTGTACCCGAAGAGTCTAAGCTAGACGGGTTTGGATTCGCGGCCTCTACACCAAGATGTGGACATCTTAGGTGGACCCCCCACCCTGCGATGATAAAAGGACCTAATATACACACCTGTGTCCCTCATAGTCACTAGTATTGGGTGGGGGGGTCCACCTAAGGGGATTATAAAAGGACCCTAATATACACACCTGTGTCCCTCATAGTTACTATTGGGTGGGGGGTCCACCTAATTGACATTCAGGATTGCTGAGATTCCAGGTCTAGCTCAGATGATGCAGTTGAGGTTACATTAAGGAAATATTAGGGAGTTTCCCAAAATTAGGGGTACCCTTTTGGGGGTCCTAATAATAGAGACTATAGTATTTTGGGGTGTATGTTTGGGTCCCTTTATTTAGGGAAACTATCATATTTGTATTTGAAGGGTCCCAGTCACGAGCGAATGAGAGGCAGCAGAAGAGCTTGGTCCACTATAGCCTGCAGCTCATGTCTTTCGAATAAGGGGCAACTGGCGAAGGAGGCCAGCCGACTATGACTCCACGGCAGTCGGCATAGCCAGGCTTTCCAGTTTAGTGCCATAGAATACCGCAAAAAGCCGGCCAATTTGGGAGGTGTCTGTACAGGTGACCTCACAGGCCAAAAAAGCAGCTTTGCACGTGCTGTGCGGGTTTGCGCCAATAACGAGGAGAGGAGAAAGCACGGGACACACTGAAAAACCCTTGTGTCAAAGCTTGCCAATCATAAATTGGCCGCCTTCATCACAATAGGTTTTTGATTCTTGCGACGCTTCGCAAACATCGCCTGGCTTAGATTGCGTACCCAATGTATGGACTTTCTAAGAAAGATTACAATGAGTCAGGCTGCTTTGTACCGTGGCTAGTGGTACGGCCAGTGCCATAATTGCAGAATGCACATGTACCTGGGTTCTGGATTGCAGACATCTATGGTGCATCCTTGCCAGCACCTCTGTGGGTGTTGACGCTTTGCGGGTCCTCTCATACGTTGATGCCATGCCCATTTCAGTTGTCGCCGTGCGTCTTAATATTCCTACAGCTACCTAGCACAGTAGCTCATTCAAGGGGCCATCCTGAAGCTTCTGGACTAGGATGCAACAAAGCTTCTACTTCTTCCAGAGGCCAAGCACATCATCTCCTTTCTCAAATCATTCCAGCCTTGGGATTAGGATTTCAGCGCAATGCGGGCCCCACATACATGCAGTGCGGAGCGCAGTTGCCATATGCTAGGTCTGGCCCCAAGCACTACTAGCCCGCAAAACATGTCGTTCTGGACGTATGGGGGGACATTGTAGGAAAACATCACAGAGTAATGTCAGACAAGGCCACTAAGCCTCGAACAAGGGGCAAATGAAGCCTAAGCCCTTGAACCCCAGTGCCCCGACCCCGGGACAAGTCTCTCCGGGGTTTGTGCCCAGGTTAAGACGCAGCCCTAAAAGCCCTGACCGTAACCCTGACACGAGGAAAACCCTTCTTCGCGGGGACATCATCCAACACTTGTCGCTATAAGAAGAACTAGGCAGAGGGCAGCGAGGCAAGAGGCAGGGGCTGTGAACCAGTCTATGAGATGTCGGGTGGCGTTTAGGGCATGATCAGGAGCGGTGGCAAAAGACGCATAAGGAAGCGGAAAGGTTGCACACTTAGGTGTGGAATGTGAACAAGTCAGGCGCCCTAAAGGATCCCCCAAATTGGACCCCTCCACCTGACATGGAAACTACTATAATGGGTTATATAGGGTTTAGGGTTCAGGTGTTTTTGGACCCTGTTGGGGGTCTTGGCAGCTTGGTTGTGATGGCATGAGGGGGAACGGATCAGGGCGACCGTGGAATAAGTTTAAATCATTAAAGTCCCACCCAGTGAAGCAAGCGGTTGAACACGGCCCAGGATCAGGGCCTACGCGCCCTATGCACTCGTTTCACATCCCCTCCTCCCTCCTCAGCGCCCCCTTGCCCGCTGAAGCCCTCAACATAAAACTCGAGCCGACCTTTGGAAGCTTCTGCTGACCCGGCTCAAGCAGCGCCATCCTCTCTCCCCCCAGACTTCAAGTCGCGAGCGCGCAATGGTGGACATTTGGGTACATCCGAGGCATTGGTCAATGTAGGAGCTTTTGAAGAATCATCCTTGTATAATTATAGTCTCCCTTAAGTAGATAGAATATAGCTTTGGGGTATTTAGCAATAAGATCCCCATATGCCCCATATTCTAGGTGCTAAGGGGGACTATAATCCTTCACGGGGGGTCCCCATATACCACTAGGGTCCCCAAGGTCCACTGACCATGTGTAATAATTTTGCGTCTGAAGCAACGCTCTTACAGTGATAGGCATTACTTAGATCATACTCTGACAAATTGCGTCATTCCGTTGCTTGAAAGGCTCGCAGGTCTCATGATCAATTGTATGCTGGGGTTACAGGGTCGGGCGGAAAATAATGGCAGTAGGCCTTTCAGCTGTCAGTTGGGTTCGGGGTGATATCATTGATGGAAAAACCCTGCTCGCCCTGACCCCAGATAGTGGTAAAATGCACTACCGCGAGGATTTGAACTACATGTGATGGTGCGCAGGGTGTGGGGTTTTGTCCATTGAGCATGGGGCCTTCTCAACGGTGTGGGCAACTCAGCGAGCACTCTAGTACATGCTGGGGTATTCGATGAGTCCTTGCTGTTGGTAAGAAAAGTTTCCTGCTTCAGCGGGCCTAGCGCTGGTGATTCAGGGCTTTGTGTTGACAGATACCAAGCATTCACCGTGAAGCGGTGATCTAGAGAACTTATTCTGGTATTGGTACACTTGAAGTTTGGCTGGGCTTTAACCATATGGCCTCAAAGTAGAAGGGTTGGCAACAGGGACCTCCCTGCTAACTCTAAGCCGTAAATCCTTAATAGTAGTTGTCATTTCCATTTCCTTTTCCAATATCTTCTATAGAACCCCTATATAACCCCAATAAAGAAGAACCTGAAGACCGATGGTATGGCTTCTGTCTGAGTCACAGCGCTCATGCAAACGGCTGTAGGTCGGGATCTTGCAGCTATGAGGGTGAGAGGAATGTCACCCTCCACCCTAAAACCCTAATCCCTAAACCCTAGATTTGCAACAGCTTTCGAGCTGGCACCCCAGAAAGGCCAATACCTTCCTAGCTTCAACAATTGGGTGGAGCCAACAGCTTCGACCAACAATGAAAGGGTTTAGGGTCTAGAGGTCTACAACACACTTCCTAGCCCTTGAGATTTTGTATAAGCAGCTATGCTAGATTGGTTGAACAGTAACTCGATGTTAGCAGCACCAAGAGGAACAGTTCAAGAGCCCCAACTCCCAGAAGCAACGCAACGACAGTCACTGCTGTCTGCGAGTGATTCAATAGTCACCAATAAAGTGTTCTAACAGTCCTGGTTGAATCCGTAAGTATGTGTATATATATAAGGTGGGTCATGATACGATGTATCCCAAAGCCCTCTTCTAATCATCTAGGCCTCTACATCACACCTGGAGGCATGGGGGCCTGCAGGAGATGATCTTGAAAGAGAGGCCCTTTGGATGGTTCAGAACAGGTTAGGGTTTAGGGTTTAGGGTTTAGGGTTTAGGGTTCAGGGCCCAGATACAAAAAAAAGGTTGGTTCGGAACGCCCTAAACCCTTTGTGGTAGGCCAAGTGACCCCTAATGATAGGCTACTATGCCCTACATTTGGGAGCAGTTACCCTAAATCTTAAACCCTTAACCCACGGGCGTTCAATGTAAACTCTAAACCGAGTGGTCTGAAAGCTACAGGGTTCCCGGTACCAGGATGCTCGCACTTCAAGACTCTGAAGCTTCCAAGGTTTGAAGGTTACAAGGGTTTGGGGCGGGTAAAGGGCTTAGCGCTTCAGGGTTTGGAGGGTTAGGGTTCAAAAGTTCATGGGTTTGGAGGTTCAGCTAGCTAGTTTATCTCCAGACCAGCCCTGCAAGTGACCGGGACCAGTGTACGGGTCACAGTTACTTGTTTTCTGCTGCTACTTTATTAGTACTACAAGCCCGACTGCTTACTGCGATTCTCACGGATTGATCCTCCCCCTCCTCGCCCGGCTGCTGCTACTATTGCGGTTGCGGCAGCTGCTGCTGCCGTTACCACTGCCGCCGCCGCCGCCGCTGTGATGGCGCTGTGATGCCGCTGCTGCACACTGCTCCTGCCTCTTTGCACCGCTGTCTTGACGACAACTTCAGGGCTTCGTGAGATCTGTCCCCGCTCCGCGCACCAGAGACCTCCCACGACTACTAATTCTGCATTAGAGGACTCACCGAAGCTACTGTTGGTAGGTCATCACTCGAAAATAAGTATTACAGTGGACTCAAGCATCACTTTGGAGGAAGTGGACAGCAAAAGCTATCGAGCAGCGGCGCACCATGCAAAAGGACGAGAAGGAGGCGGAGGTGAAGATCGTCAAGGTGAGGTTCTGGGCGCGGTGCCGGGTGTTGCTAGCACAAAGTCTAGCACTAAGATCCCCAAGCAAGACTACCTAAATAGCCTTCAGCATCTCCAAGTCGCCAAGTGTAGTACTCTTCACTACCACGGATTCTCAGGAAAGGGTACCTCTTTGGCATGGTTTTACCTCATGCGCTTGACGTTCTCAGTGGGTGTTTACTGTGGCCACGGCTCCTCAGTGCCAAGAAGCCATGCCGAAACAGTGACAAGTCCTACAGGGGCAGGGGGTTGGGCGGGGTGATTTCGTGAAATCACATGGCTACAGTCAGTGCTGCACTGGAGCTTGGCAAACAAGGAATGCCCCCAAACACCACAGCAAGATGCGGGAGTTTAAAGTTTGAAAGATCCCCCGCGAAATCCTAAGCCCGTAAACTCTAGGCCTTAAACCCTATATCTGAGAAGAGGGCGCCGTATAAAAAACACACACACACAAACGAAACCTCCACACCCCTAGACCCTAAACCTTAACCGCATTTCTTGTTGCCAGACCCTGAAGCCCTTTGTCGGGCTGAAAACCTCGGCCCCAGACATAGCAATATAGACTATAGCCTAAACTCCTTAAAGGGGGTTATATAGGCTTGAGGGTTCGCCCAACGTGTAAAGTTCTCCCACAGCCCAGGTCTCATCGACCGCGTCAAGTTTGGCTCGGCTTGGAAGTTTGGGTGGGGGACAATTACGGTCCTTTCAGCTGCCGCCATCTTAACCTCTAAAACGCAGTATTTCGGGAACCCTCATGCAAAAACACCGCATTCATGTTCGAGAGCGTCCGGTTACCAAAGCATCCATGCCCAAGCCTTGATGACGTTCATGTTCGAGAGTATCCCATTACCAGAAAATCCATACCCAAACTATAATAACGTTCATGTTCGAGAGCATCCCATTACCAGACCATCCATAATGACGCTCGTATTGCAAGTGCATCCAGGTATTTGAAATATTGCGCCCAGTCAAACGAAGTCTATGTTTTCCGGGAGCCCTGATGCAAAAACACTGCGCGTAGTAGGACAGAATGCATGTCATAGTCTGATCGTGCGAACGCAGGCAAAAGGCTGATCATCACTGCTCTTTTGACCTGTAAAACGCAATAAATTTGCACTGGGTCCCAAATCGGCCAGGCACCGTCGCACGAAATGCGGGTGCGACATAGCTGTAATGAGATGCAGCATGCAAGAACGATTGGTTGTAGCGTGTTTTCATTTCGAAAACCTCCAACAACCTGATGTAATGTCGGCGTGGCGGGCGGATTTGTTGGACAAAATTCTGAACGGCCGTGATCGTGAACCAACTACAACAAAGAAATCCAGGCATTCACAATCTCCTGCGAAACGCAGTATTTTCTGCAACTGTTTACCCAACAGCACCTTCTCCCCACAAAACGTTCCCGGAGAACCCTAGGCGTTGGGCGTTAGGATTTAGGGTTTTCTAAACTCCATAAGGTTTAAAGGGGGTATATAGGGGATTACCTAAGCCCTAAACCGTTGCGGTCCCCCGATTTAGGGAAACTGGTAGTTCCCAGAATTAGGGTCCTTTTGTGGTGCCCCTAAATACTAGGCGGCGTAATATAGTCTATAGCCAAAAGGAGCCCACATTTTTCAGAACAACCCATATTTGTTCAATTCCCTAAATAAGGGGACCCCCAAAAAGCGACCCCTAATTATGGGAAAGTCCCATGCTACTAATGTTTGAAAGGCCCCATGCAGAAGTAACCATGAAACGCAAGTTTCTGGGGTGGGTGCTCCCTTGCTCAGCGCATTTACGCCTTGAGCGCTCTGAAGCTTAACAAACCGAGGGGGCCAAATAGCTCCTAAACCACATACTATAGGGGTTATTACGGGGGATACTAGGAGTTTAGATTATGGCTCATATAGACACTAGTAAGAAGCGTAAGGTCGTTACTAAAATGAGGGTCCAATTTTGGTACCCCCTAAATATGAATTGCCGCAATATAATTGGTAAGCAAAAGAAACGCATAATTTTGAGAATAGCCCAGTAGCAATAACCCCCTAAATATGAATTGCCGCAATATAATTGGTAAGCAAAAGAAACGCATAATTTTGAGAATGGCCCAGTAGCAATAACAGTAATCATACCAGTAGTAGTAAGAAGAGAACCTTCAAAACGATAGCAACTATCGAAAAACAGAATGAGAACACCAAAGTTAACATGGTAGTTTCCATAGATAGGGGCGCCCAATATAGACCCCAAAATACTTGAATCATAGGGAATCTCAAAAGGCACCCCTATTTTTGGGAAGCCCTAAGCCCTAAACCCAAGACAATAGTAATAATAATCACTTTGATAACAACATTAGTAAGAAGATGAAAGTAAAATAGTAGTAATAGCTGAAAATAGAGAATGAGAACAACAAAAGTAATGTGTTAGTTTCCATAAATAGGGAGAGCCCAAGAAAGACCCCAAAATACTAAATCCTTATGACAGGGACTCCAAAGAGGTACAACTAATTTTGGGAAGCCCTCAAGCCTAGACAATAGCAGTAATCATGAAAATAACAACAGCAGTAAGAAGACAATAGTAAAGATATGTAAAGATGATATTAACAAGCGAAAGAAGATAATAAGAACAAACAACGCAATATTGTTTCGAACTCAACCACCCTAAACCTAAAGCCTAAACCCAGAAGCCAGTCAGGCGGCATCGCGCCCAAATGTTTCTGCGGGCGCAGGCGCGTAGGGGGTTCGCCATTCTTGTGGCGAAGCTCAGCCGTTCAATCAGCACAGCTCCCTTTGGAGGGGCGCTAGTTTCTCCCCTGGCGAATGCGGTTTAGGGTTTAGGAGAACTTCAAAGTGGGACCTGCGGAAAAGGAAAGCCTTTTCGCACGAGGCGTACATGCCTTCAGTCTCTTCCACGCGTATCTCCTGCTGTAGAGCCAGGTGTGCTTTCCAGTCTCTTAGAGTCTTGGAGCACCCAACATAATCTGGGGGATTCCCAAAATTAGGGCAATTTTTTGTGGCTTCCTAGAATAACGAGTATAGTATTTTGGGGTCGATATTGGGGTCCCCCTATTTTGAGAAATTACGATCTGTAGAACCGCTTCCTTTGAGAGCCCCCCCAGGTTTAGGGTGCAGGGTTTAAAGTTTAGGGCTCAGCCCCAAGCCCAGAAGAACACACCACGTTAAATAAAACCAGCAGTAGGAATCGGAGCCAGTCGAGTGTGTCTCAAAGTAGATATTCTTCGACTCCATTCAGGACGCCTGTACGTTAGGTCTGAAAGGTTGCTAATGTATCAGCCTGAAGAATTACCAGCATTTCCGCATGAGTATGGTATCCGCCCAGGACCTAATATAGGGTATAGATTGTGGTTTTACTGGGATAATGGGAAAGAAAATGGAGACTATGGGAATAGTAGGGATTATATAGGGATTATATAGGGGTTATATAGGGGTTATTTAGGGGTACCTAAAATATTGGTAGTAATTATTTATGCCTCTACAGGAAGCATTCTCAGGCTCTACGAAGCCCACGATGGAGACAGCTTCTCTGCTAAAGCTCGCGGCTGAGGAAGCCTGATGTATTGTCCTCCTTAAGTAGTCAGGATATGGGGTATATGGGGATATTATTATAGTATACCCAAAGCCATATTCTATCTACTTAAGGGGACTGTAGACCTGAAGGGGTTCAGCGCTTCTGGCTCCAGGATTGCGCAAGCAGGGTTTAGGGTGTAGAATCTAGGTCATTTTCAGGTTAATGGTTTCCCTTGTATAGGCCTTACATGGTGTAGCCCTAAAGTACCTCCCAGTCTCCGTATGCAAGCCTTATGTAACGGTACCCACCCAGCGACTGCATGAAAGGTCCGTTGACAGAAGTTGGGCGTGTCCAAATTTCCTTGACAAGACGTCAGCTGTTTGCCTCAAGGCCCTGCGTAGCCCCGACGACTCCTAGATGCCACATTAAGTTGAAATTAAACCTGGCATGAAAGGGAATCGCCCTAATTTGCGACTACGCTCCTGGATCCCCCATCCCCCGTGTAATCAATCCACCTTTCCATTTGATTCGTAGGACGGGGATGTGTAGTTCCAGACACTAAGCCCTAAGCCCTTACTGATATTTGGAAGTTTCCCTAAAGTGGGGGACCCCACTATAGACCCAAAAATATTATGGTCCCTAATTATTCCTGGGACCCCAAAATGGTACCCCTTATTTTGGGAAGCCCCCATTTCTGAACGGGCACGCTGAGGTCGCGGAACGGCTGCTTGCTGCCGGCAAACGTCTCCTGTGGACCCGCAGCCGCTTGTCACTTCATATGAACTACAATCTAAACTCCTTAAAGGGGGTTATATAAGGGATTATATAAAGGAGTACTATAGGGGACATTAAGGGGGATATTAGGAGTTTGGGGAGTATAGCAGTTTAGGGTTTAGGGTTTAGGGGTTTAGGGTTATCCAGGTCATACGAGCTATAGTCTTAACTCCTTAAAGGGGGTTATATAGGGGACTATAGGGGTTATTAAGGGGGATACTAGGAGTTTAGACTATAGCTCATATGAGCGTTTAGGGGAGTTTAGCAGTTTAGGGTTTAGGGGTTTAGGGTTGAGGGGTTAGGGTTTAGGGGTTTAGGGTTATCCAGGTCATACGAGCTTTATTCTTAACTCCTTAAAGGGGGTTATATAGGGGACTATTATAGGGGTTATTAAGGGGCATATTAGGAGTTTAGACTGGCCCGTATAATAGGTTTTCCAAAATGATGGTCCCCCTTTTGGGGTTCTCAGTCCCGAATAGGGAGGGTACCCAAAAAAGGGCCCATAATTTCTCAACCCCCCCAGATGAAGGTAATGTTTTGGGCTTTCTGTGAGGGCCTGTTCTTTACGGTAGAAGGTTGTAGGGGCTTCATTTGGTCTTAGGGTCTCTGTTCTTGGCAGCTTGAACTTTGCCAAGTGGTTGGACGAGTGAGCCATGATGGTTTAGGGTTTAGGGTTTAGGGTTTAGGGTTTAGGGCTGATTCGGAAGAAAGCATGCCACTATGGGCTATTAGACCCCAAACTTCCCAAATAGGACCCTATTAAGGGTAGATTCAGGTACCCTTAAGGTCTAATAGCCCATAGTGGTAGCCCTCTACGCAGCTCTCTAAAACCCTCTCCATCCTAAAGGGTCAGTCTCCCGGCCCTAAACCCCAAAAATCCCAAAGCAACCGGTGCAGGAAGTAATCAGGCGTTCCCCTAGTCCCCATCATACATACTGCCCCCAAAGCATCCCCTCTTTTTTGAGTTTGTTGTTGAGGGATAAGTAGGGATAGTTAAGGCTTAGCAAGCGGGAATTTAAGGGGGTTGTATAGGAGGAGGAGGAGGAGGGGCGTTAGTATGAGAACCCATGGTTCAGGCTTACTACACTGGCTGTGGCCGCTACATACGCTGAAGATCCACAAGGCTTGACATTATATCTGTCATTGCATTGTTAATATGATTGCTTCTGTTGTCGTACTGTATGATCGGTACTGTCATTAGTAGTATTGTTGTACTATTAAATGACTGTATGATTGATGTTCTTCTGGTTAATATGGGGTTTCCCAAAATCAGAGGTACCATTTTGGGGTTCCCCATAATAAGGACTAGAATATATTGGGGTCTATATTGGGGTCCCCCTATTTTGGGAAATTACCATATGGGTCTTCGAAGGCTTGACAGGAAGCTGGCAAAGCCACTCCTGGCCCTGCAGGCTCTTAGCATGGATCAAGGAGCCACACGGTTTAGGGTTTAGGGTTTAGGGTTGCATCCAAGAATGTGTTTGTATGTATATGTAGGTATGTAGGAAGAAAGGTAGGTATGTAAGTATGTGTGTAGGTGCGTAGATTGTAGGTATGTACGTGTGTCGATGTGCACATGTGTGTCTAGGTGTATGTGATGTTTATGCGTAAAGGTGTACGTATAGACATGTGTACATATATACTTATATATATATACACGCATTATATGCATGCACGCATGTGCCTGTCTGTCTGCCTGCCTTTCTGGGCATGTACATGTTGTCTTGTTAATTACGTGTGTGTGTGTGTGTATGCGCATTTACATGCGGACGTACATGCGTACGCCCGTAATTTTCAGAAGGAACGCGCAAACGTGGATGAGTTTGGCAGAGGTCTCACACTCAGACTGTTTCCCAATAATCCTCAGCTTCAATACATCTCATCAACCCCAAAACCCAAAAGTAGGTCTTCTTGATTTAGCATGATCTCGATAAGCTTTCGACAAATCCAGCAGCCTAGGTGTCTACAGTAGAAAATCTAGTTCAAGGCTTGATATGGAAGCTGCATTTCTTACAACAGGAAGTTTAGGCATGTAAGAAGTGTAGTAAACTATCACTCTTCAGGGGTTGTATGCAAGCACGGCCAGCAACTGGGCCGCTATGCTAAACAGGTGTAGGATGTACAAAGTATTCTTTCGAACCATCCGTCCTGCAATGTTAAGCCGAGGTTGTTCAGGCTAGCAGCTATTCAATGAATCCTGTCAGGAAAATGCAGGCGGATTATTTTCACACACATAAGCGTTGCATGGCCCTTGTATACTGGCTAGGTCCTCATATAAACATTATATATGCTTTATGTCAGGGTACCCACCGGGTAACTGCCCGCCTGACAGCTCCTTCAACAAGATGTTCGAAAGGATGCCAATCTGCTGAAAGACGCCTGCATGACCGAATGAGGGCATTTCTCGAAATGCAGTTCATATAAGCCTTAATGGGGACCTCCAAACTCCACATACCGTCCCTGTGAACCCTTCCTTTTGAGAAATGCAAGTGAACGTTAATGAGGCTGCAGTTTAAAGCCTCAATTTGAAGGGGATGTGCGTCGGACTCAGCAGTCGTCATTACCACTGAACTCTCGTCAAGTGAGTTTCGAATATGGGTTTCAGACTTAAGTGTCCCCGTTGAAATGGGAGTCAAGAACGCAAATGACGCGCCCCGGCTAGTCGATGAAGCGCAGTTTCCAACATGGCCCTTCATGAGGGTAGCTGCGTGCCTTTGCGCGCAGACAAACTGATGCAGCCAGCGACAGGCCGAAGTAAGAATGGAAGGGTTTAAGGTTTAGAGTATGCTCCCTAGGGCTTTAAGGCCTAAACCCTAAATAGTAGTTTCTATTTTATTTTCCATTATCCCCATGTAACCCTTATACAACCCCAATATTACCCAGGTTTTAGGGTTTAGGTTTTGCATCCCCAGTTTGCATCTCATCGTCCATTTCCTTTTCCCGTTAATTCTCCATTATAGTAGTTTCCATTTTCTTTTCCATTATCCCCTACATAATCCCTATATATCCCAGTTTCCATTTGATGTTCCATTTTCTTTTCCATTTGATTCTCCATTATAATAGTAACCCTAAACCCTAAACCCTAAATTCCATTTCATTCTCCATTTGCTTTTCCATTTGATTCTCCATTATACCGCATGGGCTCAGCCGGCTCAGAGGTTCAAGGCTTTTGGTGTTTAGGGTTTAGGGTTTAGGGTTTAGGGATGGGAATCACAGCTCGGGTTGCTTGGGTACAGGTATGCATGGAGGAATTATTGGGAACTTAGGGTTTGGGGCGCATCGGCCTGTCATTCTACCAGGAACAACACTGTAAGCAGGGCTGGGTGCGTATGGAGGTATGGGTTTCTATACTAGCTCTTATACAGTCCCCCATAAAACATGTGGGTTTCCAAAGCCTGTTCTATTCGATCCCTGAGTAGCCCCTATGTAATCCCCAATTGTATACCAGTGCCCATTTTCCCTTCCAGTCCTGCATTCCCCAAATACCCTAAACCCCGAAACCCCTAAACCCTAAACCATATAGAACCTAGGCTCATCAAAGCCTATACATTCCAGGGACTCCCCCAGTTTCATTTTCATGTTCCTTGCAACTGTTTTCAGTCGGTTTTCTGTTCCCTAAATCCCGGACGACCCAGCATCGGGTTTCCATGTATTTCCGTGTGGAAACCCTAAACCCCTAAACCCTAAACCGGCCTAAACCCCAAACATGTGGTTTGTCCATTCCTACTAACAAACAGGGGTCGCATCCTGCAGAGTCTCCAAGTCAAGACTGTCATGTACTTAAGGTTGAGAGTTAGAGCTTACGAAATTGGAGTTTATGGGTTAGGGGCTAGAATGAATTGAATGAATGTTAGGGTTACATGGGGGTTGGGGCTTAGGCTTAGGATGAAAGCTAGGGTAAGAGCAGCATGACATGCCACCTGTTTGCTTGGAGCGCTGGCGTTGATCCGAGACTGCACAAGGACCAGAAGAAGCACGCAGCCGTTTCGATCCGAGACCTTTGGGAGGTGAACCTAACATACAGAACAGCGGCCAAGAAGATTGCAACCTTGAAAACCAAGAGGTCCTCGTGGAAAACAGATGTAGATCACTTGCGCCTGAAACCGCGAACACAAATCAGCACAGATGCTTGGCTGGAAAACCGCGCTGCACTTGACCATAATGTGTTCATGCTACTCAATGAGTAAGGGGACGTGCGCCTAGATTATTCAGCCTGGCTTCAAGCAACCTGTCTGAAACTTTCTCGGTGCTACCTACCGAGCTCTAACCAATGACATGATTTGGCAGAAGAGCGAGGCATTCATGTTAAAACCTTACCTTAAAAGCTACTATGGGCCAAGCTGCCGCCACTGTCGGAAGTGACCGCAAGCAGGCGTCTTGAGCTGTGTTGGCATACACGCGGTACAGGATTCCGGCTTAGTGCACACTGCCCAGCAGTGTTGAAAGTTGTGTGTTGAAAGTTGTTTCTTGGTGGTCAGATTGGCAGATTACATTATAGTATATTCTAGTATAATAGGGTTTATTATGGTACATTATGGTATATTATGCCTACTTGGGTTAATGCAGTTCTCGTCATCGCCAAAATGATAGGAGGTTGGAGGCATGGTGCTGTGGCAGGTCGTCTTGAATAGTTCACAACGCAAAGGTATCCAAAAAAATCGGACCTTGTACCGTTGCATTTGCATTGCCATTACTTGTGCTTTCAAAGCTGCTACTATTGTTACTTGCAATTACTATTACTATTATGTTTACTATTGCTGTTGCAACTGGCAGCTTTAATATAATTGTCCCCAGCGCTCTTCTTTTTATTGCTACGATCACAAATACTTTTACTTTTTGCTGCTACTGCTGCTGCTGCTGCTACTACTACCACCACTACTACTACTACTACTACTACCACTACTACTACCACCACCACTACTTCTGTTATTGCTACAATTATGTTGTTTTTTATTTCTGCCGATCGCAGTTTTATTCTTACAGATACTTTTTGTTTGTTACTCTTACTTTTATGCGGCCAAGAAGCGCGCCACCTAAAGTCCTAGCGTCACATCCTTCGAGTATCAGTCCTAAGCCTTTACCTTTGCTCAGCACGAAGAAACCTTACCCCGCCCCTCCAGCCCAGACCGCCAGACCGCTTAAAGGATCTAGGAAACGGAACCTCCAATTCATCCGCTAGTTCCCCAACGCAGTGATGGGGTCATTTTGGTGGGCTCCATGTTAGGGGATCCTATGCAGAGCTTTCGGGTCCTAATAGCCTCAACTTCTTACGCGTTTTTCGTAAGGAATGAGGGAATATAGCCCCTACATAATCCCTGTATACTATATGTCCTTGTTCCCTTCTATACCCCCAAAATATACCCTACTGTAATATAGTAGTTTCCTTTTTCTTTTCCATTATCTTTATAAATCCAACATATTCCCTTATTCCCTATTAACCCTAAACCCTACATGCTACATATATATATATATAAATTTTTTCCCCTACCAGAAACCAGTAAGAAACTTGCAAGGCTGCAGCTTCAAAAGGAAGCTGGCCGACCCTTCTGGGCTCTTTCTCATGCCAGCCACAGGCGTGGGGCTCAGGATTCAGATCCTTTGCGGAAGAAATGAAAGCTACCGGATTCAGGTTTAAAAGTTTAGGGATTAGGGTTTAGGGATTTAGGGCCTAAACCCTAAACCCTATGGAAGCTGCCAGACTAGGGTTTTAGGCGGTTTAGGTTGGGAAATCCTTCAATGGGCGGAGAATCAACATGGAGAATAAAATGGAAACTGAGCTTTATAGGCACATTAGAGATCCTTAGCCGTAAACATCCCTAAGCCCAAAATCCTACATCCTAAGCCCCATACTAGGGGTTGTTACGGGGATGCTAGGAATTTAGAGATCATTCGAGAGTTATCTTGCTTCGGGACGGATGGACCTGGCCCTAAAGCGGGGGGCTGTTAGGGCTAGGGGGTTTGGGGTATATGGTTCAGGGTTTAGGGTTTAGGGTTGAGGGGTGTCAGGGCTTAAAAGGTTTATAACTTTCTGAAGCAGCTCAAGCAAGAGCGCAGTCCAAACAAGTAGCCTTCAGGAACCAAGCATGAGTTTTCATGCCGATCCCCTGAGATC